CAACATGTTGCCTAGTGTATGGCTGTATGCCTGGCTTTAGATCCATATGGATTTACGGTATCCGCCCACGCAAATATTGATGTTCATCATTCATAGCAGTCATCGCTCCCTTGTTAATAATTTTGACCTTCATCCAGACATTTGTGCTCACAATGTGCTGCATTTAAAAGCCTCAAGCCTGGGTTCCTTTTACTGCACTGCTGGAAGAAATTCCTATTCCTCTCTCTCTCTCTCTCTCTAGTTACTATATTTCATTCAGTTGTGTAAAGATGAAGTCTGGGGAGTTAGAAAAGTAAAGAAACATTATCAATTTTATTATTTATTGCTGTACTGTTGTTATTATAAAATACATTCAGTATATGTCATGTACATGTAAATGAGTGGATGAATCCTTATTGTTCTCATTAGGCGTGTGCTGATGTGTTCATGGATGTGTCTCTTGGTTGCTCATTATTATCAAGACAAGAGAGACTCACTCCAGTCTTCTTACACTTACTCAAGGATGACTCAAGATGGGTGAGAGAGAGGGGGAGAGGAAGGAAAGAAGGGAGAGGGAGAAATACATGTACACAGAGTGTATTCATGTGTAAATTATTGAGTAGTGACATGTATACAATCACTACTCATGCAAACTCCTGTGTACATGTAAAAGTGGAAGGAAGAGGTTCAGTTTTATTTGAAAGTGTTCAAGTGGGTTTTGTGTCCATTTTTGACCATCTTATGTACTTTGAAATGCCATACATGTACTGTAGCACTATTATGCATGTATTGTATTATGCACTGTATTTTGTACCATAAATCTTCTAAAAATTCGACAAATTAAATTCACCTTAAAATCAGTAATATTGAAAAATTAGAGGTTAAAAATTTTCTTTTACTTTTAAATAATTTTTATTGACTAAATTGGAGGGAGGGTCATTCCAAAGTCTCAGCTGCTTGGTGAGGTTAGACTGAAGCACGTGGTCAATCATGAGCCGAAATAAGAGGATTATGTCAAAATTAGAATACTCAGCCAGTAATTTTGCATAATCGAATAATTAGAGGTAATTTTGTGAAAATTTGGAAAAAATTATTTAATTTGACGAAGTTAGAGTGTTAAATTTTTAGAAGATTTATGGTAAATGTACATGTACATGTAGTTATGTGCATGTATTTTGTTCCTTTCCCTCCTCATTAATTCTCTTCCTCCAAATTTTTCAAGTTATGGCCATTTTAAGAAGACACCAAAATTCTGATAAATACCCAAAACAAAAAAGGCTATAGCCCATGGTTTTTTAAATGGCTCCGAAATCACCCCAAATTTTTATTACATTTTCTGATACATATTGATGCCCTTATGTTGTGTAGAAAGTTTGAGCTGATTTCGACTTCAATTTTTTAAGTTACAGCCATTTTACACCTACATCTACATGTACAATGTACATATGTACATGTACTTACAACAATAAGAAATATATTACTACTAAATTCCTCTCTCTCTCCTCCTCCTCCTCTCCAGGAGATAGTCCCAGATGAGCTGATAGAGATGTACCTAGGTATGGTGGACCTGAACAAGACCCAGAGTGTTGATGTGGACCTCCCCCTCTATTGTGCCTTCTCCTTCCCTGCAGTACTACAAACCCTGGGACCCAACCACTGGTCATTACTCAAACCAACCTTTGATATACTCTCCACTGACATGCAGGTATCACATTATAATTATACTGATATACTACAATGTGCATGTACATGTACATTGTAACTGTATTGGACCAAATATGACATTTTTGAGCCAATTTGCTTTAAAAAATTGACAACAAAAATTTTAAGCACAAGTGTAATTTTTTTACATGTACCATATAGAAGGAAATTTGGAGGAAGTTAAATTTGGCAAATTTGGTATTTTGATAGCCATTCACCAAAATAAAAAATCTGCCATTTTGAGCCATTATGCGCATGCTCAATGGCACGTGGCCACAAATTCGTGAAATTAAATTTGCCAATCACCAAAATTTAGCATTTTGCTAAATTTAACTCCCTCCAAAATTTCCTTCTATACAGTGCAAAAATAATCTTCTCTAGGTGTATGCATATACATGTACATGTGGTACATTTTCCTTGTTAAATTATTTCTCTCCTTGTCTCTCCCTCCAGTGGAAGATCAGGCGTGTCCTAGCTCACAGTATCCATGAGATAGCTCAGATGTTAGGGTCCAATAGAACAGTCTCTGATCTGTTGTCTGTAGTGAATGAGTACACTACAAAGGACCTTGATGATGTGAAGACTGGAGTACTGGCTCATTTATCGGAGTTCTTTGAGGTACTTGTACATGTACACTAATATGTACATGTACATGTTCATACATGTACACTGACTGCATTTATAGACAAATTGAATTATATAAATGAGAGATGGGAGTACACATACATGTACAAGATGTACTATATCACGTGCATGTACATGTTACATGTATGTGCCAATTAAAAATAATAAACTAATAACATGTACATATAATTATATCTTTTAAAACGTATTATATTAATATTTTGCATCATTAATATTATTTATTGTTATGCATGTACATGTACATGTAGATGTTACCCTCTGACGTTAGAAAGGAGAACTTCCCCTCTATATTGAATGGGATCCTGGACACTGAGAATGAGAAGAACTGGAGATACAGGGACTCACTGGCCGAGTAAGTGTACATGTACATGTACATCCTCTTCTTTATACTGTGGGTGTGGCTCTTATTTTGAAGGTATTATATTTTTTGGGAATTTCATTCGTCAGGCCACGTTCCATTTAAAAATAGCACGCTTAGTAAAATAATAACATTGTGAATTAAATTTGGAAAAATAAAATGTATGTTACATGTATGTTATAGTAATGATAGACAGACAAAAAATGCTAGCGAATTGACATTTTGAAATTTTGTGCACCAAAAATGTACATGTATTTCGTTAATTGCTATAAGCTAAGATTAATGTACTTAACATCTACTACTTCAATATCTTATCTTTGGAGTCCTTTTTTACTGAATCTAAAGATAGTGTGGAACTAATACTTCTCATACTATTTGATCCTGTCTGATATCCACTGGATGCTACATACAAATCAAATTGACCTGTAGAGGCTTTACCCATTAATGTACAGTACTGACTTAAGTTTCATTATTACCATTATACAAAGAAAGATATGAGCAGCAGTACTGCTAGTGCACAATGAAAATATGATCCAATGTGGATGAGTAGGAACTTAATAACTAATGTGACCATGCCTTAAAGTAAATGCACTTGTGTGCTACTTTCAAAATTACTTGACCATAAGACTTAAAAAGACTTTACTACAAACATAAATTTTATTAAAGTTGCTAGAGTTATTTTGTAAGGTATATAGTGTACTGGATAGGGGTTATATTTCACTGGAAATAAATTTCACAAATTTCGCGTTTTCATTAAATTCGCAAAATTAAATTCCACAAAAGAGGTGTGGCACACTAGTAAAATTGGCTGCAGAAGGTAGGATTCATGAAAATTTATACCAACAAATGGCAAATCTGGACAAATTCGTGAAAAATTTTATACCAACAAAATAAAACCCCTATATGGTATAAGTGGATGGAGAAATTTTAAAATTTTGATTCAATCAGGCAGGAAAAACTAATCCAAGGGGGATCTCCTGCTAAATATGGCTAGCAAGAACACTGCAATGGATGTACCTCACCTCCAATGACACTTTGACTGGCGCATGTAAGGGTGTCACTCTATGAAAATGAAAATTAATGAATTAGCAGCAAAAATGTACATGTAAATTTAAAATTGTTAACTGTCACACTTTACATGTAAGTAATGTTTAGTATTCATCTACTTCAATCTAAGTCAAACAAATTAACTTTTGTAGCTTTAAGTTTTTCTTTTGCCGAATCTAAAGTTAAGAAGGTTGTGGTGAATTCCTTGTACTACTAATGCTTGATTCTGTACCATACCCGCTGGATTCCACTCTCTCGGATTCTGAAGAACTTCTTGTATCTGTTGCTTCCTGAGGCCTGGTGGATTCCATTCTTTCAGAATCAGATGTTGATAAACTTCTTGTACTACTAACATCTGATGCTGTGCGACACCTAATGAATTCTGTTTCTGGAGATACTGGTGAACTTCTTGTACTACTATTATCTGGTGCTGTACTAGCAGCATCTTCCTCTAATTTTATGTTTCCTTTCTTATGCATGTAGTTATTAATCAATGCATATATTTCAGAGGTCTCTGAAAGAGATAATGCAGTGTTGCCATCATTAGATTCAATAGTTGGATCAGCTTCCCATTCTAATAATAACTGAACTACTTTATGATGTCCACTAGCACTGGCAATCATTAAAGCTGTAGCACCATCTTTGTTTCGAACATTAGTATCAACTTTTGATCCATCTGATGTCTTCAGGTGAGGATTAGCATTAGCTTGTAGTAACATGTGAATGATTGAAATGTGATTATATTTACTTGCTATCATTAGTGCAGTCCATCCTTTATTGTCCTGAATGTTAACATTAACATTAGCTCCAGCAGACAGTAAACTGTGTACAATGT